GATAAAAACGATCCTCTGCATTCTCTTTACATCGGGCCTGAGAAACTGTTGAGTCTGTACTCTGAGAAGAACTGGGGCAACTTCTGTCTGTCCTATCTGCTCACCAACAGAGACTACAGTGGAGTGCTGGGGCTTGCCTGGGAAGGCAAGGCTGGTGAGTCAGATTCATTGTGACACGTGTGCGCAGAAATCATAAACACATGTGCTCACAAACACACAGAGTGGTTCAACTATTTGCATATTTGTTTCAGAGCACTGAGATCCATGAATCAATAAGTTGTCAAATGTTATGGCTTCCCCACACTGAAAATACATATTAGAAATACTGTCATTGTCCTGTACTTGGGTTCCAGGTCCTGCACTGTGGGGATTTATTTTGCTTGGAAGACATTGCCATGCAACAGCACACTGATTAAGAAATGTGGTTGCACACTTGAACTGCCCCCTTGTTATTTAATTACTTAGTAAAACTTCAATTTGATTCAAAATCTCCTTATAAAGTGGTGCACAAGGCATCTAGGATACTTTTCATTTGATGGAAGGATGTAGCTGTAAAGTACACGAAGCAGTGTAAACATCATATAGCTTTAAGAGCTCAAACAGCTGATACAGAGTATACTTAGTATGGTCAGACATTAAGAAGATCCTTTTAACAACCTTAAAGCTGCTAAAGGGAAACAAAATGAGGGGAAATGTGTGATAGTGGGTTAAAGGCTAGAGGAATACTTAGCCTAGCTAGAATCCAATTTTTGTTATACATACCATACCTTAAAAAGACATTTTAACAAAAACACCCCAAAACATTACTAGAATCCTGTGGTGGAATTTCATTGTTGTATATTTAACAGCATTGTTAAGAGTGTAAATTTTGACTTTCTCCACTTGATGTTAGCTCTTGATGTCAAATATGATGTGTATTGTGAAATAGGTGGGCATAATAAGCTGTAGCTTCAGGCTACAACTGTTTTTCCAGTCTGCAGTGTGCAATCAATAATAGAGACAGGCAAGGCAAGAAACTTTCTCCTTGAGACAATAAGGCAAGAAACTTTCTCCTTGAGACAATAAGGCAAGAAACTTTCTCCTTGAGACAATAAGGCAAGAAACTTTCTCCTTGATACAATAAGGCAAGAAACCTTCCTCTTGATTGCAGACCGAATTGACTTTCTGTTGAGCAGATCAATGATGCTACAGATAAAAGAGTAGAGACAAATGGGAAAGTGTGTGTTGAGAACATATGGTAGGCTGAACAGAAAATGATGCGAGTCTGTCCATGTTGAAAAGTACAAGACTTAGAAAGGGAAATAATGTTTTCCTCATGTGCCTCTCTGCGTGAGTCTCTGCATGGATCTCTGTTGATCTATCAAAGCGCAGCTCCTTCTCTGGCTCCCAGGACTCCCAGAGGCCACGTTCAACAGTCTTACATGCTCACAGTTTCCAGATCAGTGTGACTTATTTGACCCTTGAAGGAGGCGGATCAGGGTTGATGGGTTGTTGGAGATGTATCAGCTTGAATTCAGCTGTATTGACATTGATGAGTGAACTCCTCAATTAACAATCCTTGGTGATTTGCATGTAAAGTTTCCTTACCCTCTTCTGCTAGGCTGAAATCATTAGGACATGTCATTAACAGACATTATAGACATTGCACATTTTTCTCCATCATTATTTAATGACAAAATCAATATCATATTTACAGAAAGTTACACAAATAAACAAATGAACCAGACTGTTTTGCTGAGAACAAAGCAAGTTTTCCTTTTAGAAGTAATCATTTGCATTATGCTTTTATGGACTCGCTTTACATTTTTTCATTAAATCTTCCCCTTTAGGAAATGGGGACATGCATTACTACAAAATTTCAATGAAACTCACAATGTAATATCACTGAACTTGACTATTATTGATAATTTTTTTTATAAAATAATGTGCAGAATCTGCTTTAAGATTTGAAATGTTGAATGAGAGCATCCGTTTTTCATTTTTAGGACATTATGTTTGATGACCTGAATACCCAAATTTTACCATAACATGACATTTTCTTACATCAGCCATGCCTATCAGGTCCGGTGACAGACTCTGTGTGTAGTGTTATTGTTTTGTTGGAGGAAGCTGGACTTGTCGCGGTAGGATGTTCTTCCTGCTTGTTTCAGTGACATTTTCTCATACGCAGCTTTTGATTGGTTAAACTGAGGGGCGTGAGACCTGACCACCGCAATGACGTGATTAGGGAGCAATGATGCTTTGACACACACACACACACACACACACACACACACACACACACACACACACCACTCCCAGATGTCTTAGTGAGGATTGGTGACTATATTCCACAGCATGATCACCATGGTGATATCTCACATGAGGAACACACACACACACACATTGTGGATTCAGTGACATTGTTGTGACTTTTCAGTCTCATGTGTAGCCCCAAAAGAATGAGCAGACTATTAAACTTGGATAATGTTTTACCTCCAGAGACAGAGACGCTCCAGTAGTAGGCCTATCTTCATAACCCACTTCCACCGGTTTATTAGTGGTCTTGGGTAATAAAAGGCCTTTAACCACGTGGGGATGGTTGGGGCCACGCGGTCTTTCTCACCAGAAAGTATTCCTCCTTCTCCTGAGACTAATTGAGCAACAGATTTTCCACACGATATGTTTGGTGTTGTTTTCCTAGAATGCTGGCTGCAGTGCGGTAACCATAAATATATATCCTTGAAAAACCTTCACATATTCTGCCCAGGTCTTTCACTGACTGATAGAGCTGTGGAAAGTTACATGAGTTTGGATGGATCAGACTCTCGTCTTTTTAATGATGAAATAAAAAAAAGAACTCTCAGTCGAAAAATAATCAAGGTCCCATACATGGCAGAGTACACACCTGAAACCTTTAAAAAACGGTGTCCCTACCTTTTATAATACAACAGTCTAGAAGTCCAGCACTATAATACATCTTTAATATCTGTATGTCCCAACTTATCGCAATGGTCTAATACACAAAAGTAGTCAGTTTGTTTAAATTTAGGCAGCCAATCCCCAAATGGGGGCAATGTTGTGTTCAAAAGACTACTACACTGATTTAGCATTGGATTCCTGCAACATTGTCAAAATCATAATTCATAAATAGTTTTCAAAAGGATCAAAATCGAGATAGCACAACCAGAGATATATAATCCTTGTCAAAACCTGGCGCCTACGTTACCCACAATGCAACTCGGCCACTAACAGTTCAGAGATTAGGGTGTGTTATGCTAGTAGCTGCTAATGTAGCCTCAAGCCACTAACCTCAAGCAGAGATGAGGAGCGGGCTACAAAGGTCTGGTAGGTCCAAACCTCCAGATTTATTTTTTTACAATTTTTCACTGACATCACTGGAGGGAATTTATCACAGCTTTGCAGAGCTCCCTCTGGAGTCACAAAAGGCTTTATGCAACTTTCCCTCACACATGTGCAGTAGTACTCCTCAAGATGTGTAAAGTCAGTGGAGTTCCCTTCAAGGCCACGGGCAGTCTGGATTAGGTCACACAGGCCAAGTCGACACTGAGAGCCGGCAGAGATTACTTCAGATCTTCCCACTAAACTAGAACAATAACAAACATGTTAGGGCCCTATACATTCTCCCTGCAAACAGAAGCAGCTGCAGTTGGTAAAGTAAAAGAGAATTTCATAAGATGCACAGCGTTTTAACAAAATAAGACCTACTCACATGAGTCTTGTGAGCCTTAAACATCTTGAGTCGAGGGCTCTAACAGGAATATAGAGTCTCCACTCACTGAAAGATATAGGCCTACCATAATTCACTACCAATGAGAGACTGATACCTAGACAACATATTGCTCCCGAGCTACTTGGGAAATGTTGTCTGAGAAGAATGAGGATAGGCCAAAGGTTACTTGGTCAGAAAGGCTTCACACACCTCACCGCATTAGGTTAATAAACAGTAAATGCAGTGTAGTTATGTCAGCTCTCCTAAGTTAGTCTACGCCACAATTTTAAACATAGATCTGATATTATTCAGACTACTGATAATATAGCAAGTCGTACTGTTTTCAAACCACGTTTTTTCACTTAAGCTCAGATTTCTTTAGCTGCGCTGAAGGAATTTCCCCCCAGAAGATGAAAACATGAAAACACTGACCCACACATACTCGCTCTCCAGGTGTCACTGTGGACAGAGAAACATAGTTGAAATGTCCTCTCTTAAGGAAGGGTGTCCATCAGTGATAGCCTGAGTTTCACTGAAAAACTAAAGATCATATTTTAATACTCGAGTATCAAAACCTGCTAGAGAATCAAAACCTGAAAAATATTAGGAATCCACCTCAGCACCAGAACATGCTGCAAGTCTTCATTGGCAACTTGATTTTAGCCATCAATTGTAACAATATGTATAACTCATCAGGGTCATTTTGGGGAAACAGTGACTCTGTGCGACAGCTTTACACCAAAGTCTGGCCTGCGAAGGTTTGCAGCCTGATGAGTCCAAGACAGATTTGACCGTCCATCTCAGCCAGTTTGAGTGCCGGAACTATAACTATATAGAAGTTGTTACCCAAGCCGTCTTGTTGCTCATGAAGTTACTGCCAGATCAAAGTCAGATATATATAAGTCCCAGGTTAAGTAAGACCTGTGATGCATTCCAGACAGTCTTTTGTTTTCAGCAGGGAAAAGGTCAAAATGATCTCACAATACGGTAAATAAATTGTATTCAAATTTGCAATGTGGAGGTCAATGAACTCTGGAGACAAAGGGAGCTGTGATGGAAAGTCAGAGGATGCAGTTACAATTGTACTTTTGGTTGACTGCCAGAGCCAATGTAGTTTTCTGAGAACTTTGGTCGGTGTTACTAGAACTGCTCGCTGTGTCTGTTTTTCTTGTTAAAGGTGTTATTAGGATGCCGGGACTCCCCCCGGATGTTTATCCAAGGAAAAACTGCCCCTTTACTATTGTTTGTTTCTTCACTATAAACCATGTGAATGTGTGTGTGCCATAAAAAGAGTGCCATGTGTTTGTGTACCTGCATATGTTTGTCCGTGATATTAATTGCTAACCTACTGTATGATTAAATATTTCTTAAAGTTGTTGCATGTATGTTTCTTGTTTCTGCTCCTGTGTTTGTCAGTGTGTGTGTATGCGCTTGTTTCCTCCTGACGGTGTGTGTGTGTGTGTGCATGATGTGCAGGTGCAAGAAGGACTGTTTGTTCCTCTGGACTGTGTTTGTCCAGCAAGCTAATAATAGGAGTCTTTCAGTACAGCTCCTTTCTGTGGCAAAGACGAGAAGGAAGGCACCCCCTCTCTGCACGCGCTGCCAAAATACACAGCGCAGGCCTCCAAAGTAAGCTCTTTCTAGGAAACCCAGTTCCTTGAATAGTAGCTCATGATGGGAGCCATTTTAGGTCAAAAGCGGGGAAACGCTAAAGAAATGCTTCCAGAATTCTTGATTAATTTGGTTTGCAGAGTTTTGCCTGGCAGTTTGTGGATATGAAACTATTGTTTTTTACTTTTAGCAGTGAGAAGAAAAGTTAATAATTTCCTTGCATACCTCTAGGTTGTCCCCTAAAAGCTAAAAGATTTCAGTGTGCATTCTCATTTCTGGCAAAAGCCATCATGTGAACACCAAGAGAATAGTCTCACTGTATTTTCACTGGCAGCCTGCTTCACCTATATGGTAGTGTAACTGCATTGCCTTTGCTCCTAACCACCACAGTACCCTTGTTTTGACAACAGCAGAGATGGGGGGCACTTTTGTTTTTCAACCTCTAACTGTCCCTCACCGTTCCTGCACGTCACACTTACACCCACTGTGTAACAAAAACATGCTGGTGGGAGATCCAGATGCCCACGACTGGTTCCCACAGTCCTCAGTGACGCAAAGTGAACTCTGTGAATTCTCTGAAATGGGTCCTAAATAATTTAACAGATGTGCACCTCCAAGCCTCACCCCTCCAAACGGTACTGCTGACCACATTGTGTAAGAGGTGTTACGTAAATTTCATGTGACTGCATGGAAAGTGCAGGGACTTCCAACACGAACCTCACATGGGCTCAAAGTGAGGGAACCAATGAAGAGAGAGGACGGATACATGGGAATCACTCCCACCATAGCTGATTGAAACATTTGGTGGTGGTAATAAGTTACCAAGTCAGTCAAGTAAATTTTCTTTACATAGCACAATATCACAAATGAATTAATTAATTTGCCTTAAGGGGCTTTACAATCTGTATAATATACAACAACAATACACTCTGTCTTTAGACCCTCAAGTCAAAAACTCCCCCAAAAAACCCTTTGACAGGGAAAACCATTTAAGAAAATTAAAGAAAAAAGTGAGAGAGAACCATGATAACATGAACTTGCGAGAGAAAAGGAGAAGGGGGGAGTCTGAATCTCCATGGGGGACGAAGATCCAGATCAATGACTGGAAGAAGTCGATGCTTGAATTATGGAAGGATAGATGAGTTTTCAGTTGAGATTTAAAGGACAGGGTCAGGGTCACAACAGGAAAAGGCCCTGCAGCCTGCTGACTTCTTTTTAACTCTGGGGAGAGACAAGAAGGAGAGCAGATGGGACAAAATGTAATGGTTTTGGGGTGGTTGGGTGGTTTTTCAGTTGTTTCCTATGTTTCTATGTAGTTATGGGTTTCACTAGTGTTCTGGGTTTGTTTTTCTCTGTGTTCCTTTTGTATATGCTTTATTTTGTAACATCGTTCCTTGTGTGTTTTCTGTGAGCTTTGTATTTCCTGTTTTAGTTTGTAGTTTAGTTGGCTCCTAGTGTGTGTTTTCATGTTTTACTTCTTGTGCTCGTCAATGATTGTCATAGTGTTTCCACCTGTGTGTCATTAGTTTCTCCCTCACCTGTGTATTTAAGTACACTGAACAAAATTATGAACACTTTTGTTTTTGCCCCCATTCATCATGAGCTGAGTTCAAAGATCTAAGACATTCTCTATGTACACAAAAGGCCTATTTCTCTCAAATATTGTTCACAACTCTGTTTAAATCTGTGTTAGTGAGCACTTCTCCTTTGCCAAGATAATCTATCCACTTCACAGGTGTGGCATATCAAGCTGCTGATCAGACAGCCTGGGTATTACACAGGTGTGCCTCAGGCTGGCCACAAGAAAAGGCCACAGACATGAACAAGTCTACTGACATCAGAGCGTCATATTTTACAAACAAAAAGCTGACAAATACAGGGAGACAGAAAATCGCAGACAGTGTGAATGCCTAAATGAACAGGTGTAGTCTATAATAACGTTTTCTTATGAGCTGTATGAAAATATCAGCCTTATTCTTTCAGCTCAGCTGTGTGTCGGCATTTCCACATTAAAATACTCGGACACTGAATAGCCTAAGTGGTTGTTCCACCTCACTTTCAAAAATGAATTGACGAGAAGTTTTTTAAAGTACACATTCAAAAGTGTTCCAAACATTGTTCTAAATTAACGTCATAAAGCAATGAAACAAAAAATCCATTCAGGCCATAAAATGTGCTCAAATAGTGGTGAAAGACTGAATCTCAACATTTAGGCTACTGAAAACTCGCCTTATTACCTGCGCTCACATCACTAAAGGTGGGGCGGAACATGACCAGTCTCTGTATTAGGCCTATAAGAAAGCTACTAACCTAAAATAAACACCCTGCATTCATACTGAAATTTAGTTTTTCAATATCCCAAACCAAACTGCTCATAATATTCAGCCTCACATAAGAAAAATGAAACCTATTTATTTTAACTGCCGCAACGGGCTGTGTGAAACGGACTGGGGAGAAAATGAAAACTATTAAACGCATTTCAAAACAGTAAGTAAGCTTACTGTAAAAACCTGTAATTCTACAATAGCCTAAGGCTTTTAATCAGTCTCTGTAGGATGATATCGCTACACCCTATAAGAGTTTATTTTCCAAAAGAGCCAATTGGTCAATAGGCGGCATTCATATAGAGTTGATCTCTTATCTGGAATATAATCTGCTCCGGAGCAGGTTAGCCATTCAATGGCAATCTACCCCAGTAAGAAGTGAACCACCATTGTGGTACTGAAAACCCAGGGTTAACCCCGAAGTTACCTCAATAAGCTCAAAGCCTGCTTCGTGGTACAGGCCCCTGCTCCATCTCCGTGTCTGCATTTGGGGTCCAAAACCTCGGTTTCCTGCCTTCACCCTGGCTGAACGCAATGCATAAAGTTTAATGAGATCAGAGTGATAAGACAACAAAACATTACAAGGCATGAATTAAGATCTCTGCATCAGCCTTCGACAGAAAAGTTGTAATTTTAGCTTGCATTAGTGTAAAATGGCGATCTTGGTGATTTCTTTAATGTGCTTATCAAAAGAGAGAAGGATCAAGTGTTAACCCTGAGATTTTTGTCTGTCACACTTTGAGAGTTACTGTTACTTGATCATACTGGTGTCCGTGTTTGAGCAGGGGCAAATGACCAAAGCAAATGGTAATGGAAGAGGGAGAGCATGAATAGAGATGGCTCCAGATGGTGTTTGTAAATTTCTTGTACTTGGATTAGAGGTACAGGTGGTTAGCATATTCCAAAGCTCAGTATTTAGTTCCTTTTTGGTCTGTATATACTGTTCAACAAGAAGGATGGATCCTGTTTAAGTGTGAGATGCTTTTGTTGAACTACCAAAAGTCAAATCTTGAGCAAAGACTCTAATCCATGAGCACCATTTCTATAGGTGCTCCGTTTAACCAATCAGACTGGTTCTGTAAAACTAGTACCCTGGCTGGCCAGCAGAAAGAAAATACTACAACCCAGCCACCAATCCATGTGAATGTGGTCAGCTGTTTGGAATTGTGAGAGGGGCTTTCAAGGATGTTACGTAAACCCAAAAGTCACCACAGACCACTGAAGGTCAAATGGCTCAGCAGGTCTGTTAGTCTATTTGTCCACACCTCCCCTTACAGGGGCCTCAGAGGTTGATAACACTTCAGTACCAACACATTGTTGGTAAGGTATTTCCAGAAAGACAAGGTCAGTTATGCAACGATACTGTACTACAAAGTGACACGATAAGCTTTCATTAGGTCTGCGGCTGTTTTTATTGAGCTTGTTGAATCTACAGTATGAACACAGTTACTGCTAGGGATGGGGATCATTAATTTTTATTGATATTGATACCCATATTGAGACTGCTTAATGATCCGATTCTTTATCGATACCACTATCGATGCTTTACTATTATTTAGTGATGTTTATTTGGTAAGACCAGACCCTACGGGCATGAGGTAGGTCTGCACGGTATAAGGAAAATATTCAATGTGCGATAACGTTATATATTGAGATGACATATCACTTGCCATAAATAAACATATATTGAAGTGTACATATTAACTGCCTGGTTGTTTTTAATTTAATATTTTAAATACAGCTAAATGTTGTTTCTAGAGCAGCAACATTAATGTTTACAACAGCAAAGTAACTCAATAACTTTATCTGACATCACAAGTAGTGAGTGACGTTTAGAAAGAATAACATCAGTCTGCATCAGTCCCTCCTCCTCTCTCGCTGGCTGCAGGTAACATTACCAGGTAGAAGGAGGAGCGGCTGGTTTGTCTCAGCCAGCAGCTGAGTTTTTAAGACTACAGACCAGTCTGTGCTCCAGACAGACAGCGTTCTATTTAGCTTGATTTTAACATTTGGCTAATGCCAAGCTAGCGATAGCTGTGCTTATATAAAACATACAGGATGAGATACTGAGGACAGAGATGATTAAATTAACCATTTCTACATGTTTAACCTTACCTTACAGACAGGTGTATTGATAAAGTATTTTCTTTTTACTTGCGAAGGTTTGCAGCCTGATGATTTTCTTATCCATTGCGTTTCAAATTAAATCACATTTGTCGCTCAAGACATAACGTTACATCATAGCCTGCAAGTCTTGATAGCAGTATCGATAAGCTCCAACCTTATTGATTTCCGGGTTTTGAGAAATTTTGAAACTGGGTCTCCATCCCCATCCCTAGTTACTGCAGTTGGAATTAGGTTCAATCATGATGCATTCATGAGCTGTCAGCTTCATCAAAACCTACTGTGAACTAAGTGGTAAAATACATAAATGACATATTTTGCAAAAGACATAGACTTTTATATTACATAATATTAATTTAACTGTCATTTACTCCATAAGACCCACAAACTCCTTGTTTATACTCTTATCTGTATTTCAGGTAACTGGGGAGGTATATGTTCCAAGCAGACTACCCTGCGTAATGGCCAGCCCTCCACCCTGAACACAGGTCTGGTCACCATTCAGAACTATGGACAGTTCCTGCCTCCTCGGTACGTCCAGCTGACCTTTGCTCATGAACTCGGCCACAGCTTGGGATCTCCGGTCAGTCGCCATCACAGAGTTTACAAAATACTAACAGCATCTGTCTGATACTAACTGAAGAGGGGATCCTCAAAATGGCCTCACTGAAACCAAACACTCGAGTGAATATTGCACACAATTTATCCCATGATTATAGATTTTAAGGATTCTGGCAATAATACTAGAATACTAAATCCACAGTTTTGTAGAGCGCAGTTTATACTTGATGACAAACTGTAATGATGATGTAATTCATGGACAAATCCTGAAGCTGCTCCTCAGTAAATAATGGAACAACTCTTGGACGCCATAACAGTATCAGCGAGGATTTTCCTGGAACAAACAGGATTATGACCAATTCATTTGCCCTACATTCATATAATTTGGATGTAGGACACAGACAAAATACCGACTCCAACAAAAACACGGTGACATCATGGATTCATGTTTTGGGGCTCAGATTTTGTAGTTTAAGGAGTGAAGTATAGACAGTTGCAGATTCATAGCTGTCCAAAATCACTAAAACTGCCAATGTGAAAGTCTTTTTCAGGGTGGATATTCCCTTTTTAAATTGTGTATTAATAGCGGCTTACAAACAAATCACTATAAATGTAATATCATATGGGGGAAAGAAGCCAAAATTGTGTCCTTTTGTGGATGTTTTAGGTGATACTGCTTCATAGGCTTTTTTTCAAAGCAGACATTTTAACGTTCCAGTATAATTAATAACGTTAACTAAGTGTTCCATTTGCAGGATCCTGGTATTGTTAAAACTTTTTTAATCGACTGTCTCACTAGGCACTCAAATTGAATGGAGCCACCGGCAATGCTTAACCCTTATCTGCTGTTTAAAAGGTTCACTCAATGAAAGTGCAAGAAACACTAAACACGCTCCACTGAGCTTTTGTTGAGCTCAGATTTTACATGAAACATTGGTAGTTTTACCCTGAACCCCTTTTGGTGCCCCAGACCCCAGGAATTCAAACACTTTCTAGTCTTAACATAAGACAGCGTGGTACTGAATGATAATCCGACATGACGAATCTCTGTGATTGAAAATGTAGACATCACATATTCTCACAAGGCATACATGGCTGTTTGCGCTGCACCGGAACAAATTGTCTGTGAATGATTCACTTATGTGGGCATTGGAGACCTTGGCCTTTATTGACTGGCTTGTTTTTTTGAGACCCTTGGCTCGGCTTCGGTGGATAATCTGAAACAAGAGAACAGGAGGATCTCTGATTTCTCTCTCTCTTTCTCCTCACCGTTATTATCTGTTTATGTTCATATGCAAGGCTTTAGAACCTCATTCACCAGTGGTAGAAAGTAACTAAGTACATTTACTCATGTACTTATTGATAGATAGATATATACTTTATTTATCCCGAGGGAAATTCAAGTACTGTTCTTAAGTACAATTTTGAGGTACTTTACTTGAGTACTTAAAGGGAAACATAGCAGTTTTTACCTAATTCAGTGGGGCTTGATTGGCATGGGAAACACATTCAAGCATTTTCATCCATTACATGTATCTGAAAGCCAAGGTTATTGTGTGTATTGTATATGTGTATTTACTTGTATACTTCAAGTAAAAGATCTGAGTGCTACCACTATCATGCACCCACAGGGTTTGGAGGATTACTTTAAAAATGTAATCTGGTCCAATTACGTATTGGTATTACTTGTTAAAAAATGTAATCAGCAATGTAATCCAAGTACCACAAAATAAAAGTAATGTAACCTGATTACTTTTAGGTAGTTTTGAATTACTTCAATGCCAAATAGCCAAATGAAGACAGGAGAAGTATCAATGATGTGTTGTCTGCTCAGTGTATTTTTAGAGAAATATACAAAATCTGTGTAGGTGTGATTGCGGGGTGCGGTGCCTGATTGGGAACTGCAGCCAGGCGAGCAGGCAACGAAACGTTGCTCAGCAGCCTCCCAGTGAACACGGCATGAAAAGCACCAAACACAGCCTCTAAGACCAACATTGAATCCAGTATTGACATGACTTACACACAGCTTTCTGATGGATAGCTTTGGAAACTTTGTGCTTAAAGTAATCCCTATGAGTAATCCCCGATTTTACAAATTGTACCTGTAATCTGATTACGTCTATTTTTTCTGTACCGTAACGGAATACATTTACTTTTTTTAAAATCCTGATTACGTAACGCCGTTACATGTAATCCATTACTCCCCAACCCTGTCCACCCCCACCATAACAACACACAGCTGCGCCCAAATGCATGCCTCCTCTCCATGTGTGATGGTGCTAACACATGCAACCTTTCTCCCACTTCCCAAAATGCCAGCAGCGCTCCTCCGTCTTTTTTCACCCTGCCCTCTGTTATTCACACTTCCACAGACCAAAGAGTCCTGTTCACCAAAGAGTCCTGTTCCTGAGCAGATTTGTTCTGCTATGTCAGACCCTGCTGGCTTTTTATAAATTTAACTACAGTATGTTCACCTGCTCCTGCCTGGATGGGAATGTGACTGGCATGTCTCATTGTTCCAAGGCCAGACAGGCAGAAAGAAGCACATGGTGAGATCTGAGCACTGGCTTCACCTGAGATTTGTGGCAGGCACCATGGAGGAAAGACAGGGGGTGGGCTTTGACGCAATAGTGAATTCTGGGTAAAGAGCTGCTTTGACCTTTGGCCTACTTGCCTTGCAACCATACATGCAAACAGTACAGTGGCTTTCCATGTGCTGTGGATCAATGTACTGCTCAGGAGAAAGGTAAATTGAAATATTGTACAAAAAAAAAAATATATATATATATATTAAATTTCTTTTGTTGTCCGGCTCCTTTTTATTTCATTTAATTCTTGCTATTAGTATTACAGTTTGTGCACAAGTACCTTTAGATTAATTAGAGCAGCAACTACCATTTTTTATTGATTATTACAATGACTCAATGAGATTGTGATTAAATAATTAATCGTTTTGGTTATAGGGTCAGAAAATAATGAAAATTGTCCAGCGGGTCACCTTTAAATTTCCAACCAACAGTCCAAAACCCCCAAATATTACAATGAAACAATTAATCAAATATCAAAAGAGTTTCCCGTTATGTTTTTTGTTGAATAACTAATCAAATAATTGTTTCAATATGAAATTTCTAAATTGTCCAAACAAATGGAAATAAGATAAATGTACAACACAACATACAGTACAGTAATTACAAGTCACAACATAGGATTTAGAGGAGACTTCACTGAAAAAGATTTCCCAGAGACAGAAAAGCTTTACAGTCCCAACATTTTTCTTGATAAGCTGTTTGTTAAAACTGCTTCTAGGTTACATCTGTGATAACACTTGTAGACTTTGTAAAGCCACTACAGTGTTCAAGAAGTAAACAGGAAGGGCAGGAAATCTGCAAATTGTACAGAGTACAGTACTGATATTTACACATACTTTGTTGTTTCCTTTTCTGTTGGTGTACAGTGGAACTTACAAGTTGTAATTTTGAGCTGAGACACCACAAAATGGCTGAGGTGAGAGAACAGCACATTATAGTGGAAACATAAGACTAAGTTGACTCAAAATGTTGCTTAACATTCCTCAGTGATACTAAATTATATGATACCAATAAACAATAAAAATAAATGTATTCTTCTTAAGAAACAGCACATCTGCTGTGACACGCAGTCCTTCAAACCCCAAAGCTGCAGATACTGATAGATAGAGTGAAGACTATAAAATTTACACTCATTTTATCCATCAAACTAATGAAGAACAGATGCAGAAATACCCTCATCAAAACATGTTCCCCACCACATGTGTCCATGTTAATTATAAATCTACTCCTTTGGTCTCTTAATTCACCAGTGAGTTTGACATCTAGAGAACACAAGCTCCAAATATTGTTTAACAAATAAAATCTCTAACCAGCACAGGAGGATCTCTCTGTTCTGTCCTCTGTGTCACACATGTGGAGCACAGCATTCCTCTGCTGTTTCAGGGCCACCCAATTCCAGGGATCTTTTGGCTGCATAAGGGATATGTTTTTGTTTTTTTTTAGTTATTTGAAAATACAGCAAAGATAACTTTAAAATGTCTGTAGTATCACTGACGTTACAGGCACCATCATGTGCAGACACTGTCCATAGAAAACATGTTTACTGTCTGCGTAGACCTTCAAGCTACTGAGGTCAGCAATAAAGGGACTCAATTCCCCCATCTGTGATTCGGATGGAAACAAATGGTTTCAGCTCGGTTAGATCATCACTCGTTTCTCCCTGCTGTTTCTGTCTGCAGCTGAGTACTTTGAATGGAAATGTTAAAAATAACTGCTTATCCCATGTGCTCAGAGTGAAGACTTACCCAGAAAAATTAAGTTAATTTCTGGTATTTTGTCTGTGTTCCAGCACGATGAGGGCTCAAACTGCGGGAACCTCGGCTCCACTGGCGGTAAAGGCAGGTACCTGATGTTCCCTCACGCCACAGACGAGGTGCGTGAAAACAATGATAAGTTCTCGCCCTGCAGCATCAAACACATCAGCAGGATCCTGAAACTGAAAAAGGATGACTGCTTTGTGGGTGAGGGAAAACAAAGATCAGACAGCATCCACCTGCAAGTTGCTGAGTCATGCAGAGCCGAGGCCAAATGTTTACACTGCACATTAGTCACTGTAAATAATTATCTTGACTTTCAGTGGATGTGTGTGTTTATCTGTGTGTCTGTTATTGTTGGTCAGTCAGTGATCAGCCCATCTGTGGTAACCAGATTGTGGAGGGGGACGAGGAGTGTGATGTCGGTCACAACCACAAAGACCTCTGCTGCTTCGGCGCTAAAGAGCCTGTAGGAGTCCAGTGTCGCCTCAAGCCTGGTAAAGTCTGCAGGTACTATACAAGTGAACATTCACAGACCATCAGAGTGTATAAGAGGTGAATCAGGAGAATTTAGGATAAGCTATTTCTCACTTTTTTGATTAAAGAAAAACACCACTCTCATCAAAACTATTTCGACGATATTCTATTTTGTTGATGTTCTGTCGTCTAGGTGTGTCTTTGTTCTGTTTAAATGCAGCTTTCACGTTTATCCGCCACGCTGACTCTATGTGTATGATGTTTCTTATTCGTCCATCAGTCCAAGCCAGGGCCTGTGCTGCGGTCGGGACTGTGAGTTTAAGCCGGCGGGTCAGACGTGTGATGAGGCGACAGACTGTCTGAAAGAGAGAGTGTGTTCAGGCCTCTCCCCAATCTGCCCCAAGCCAATCGCCAAGGAAAACCTTACAGTCTGCAGTCAGGGCACGCGTGTCTGCCTGAGCGGGGTGAGGCAGCCACGTTCACCACACCACCGTCTGACTCAACACGGTTCAACCACATTGCCCAATAAGCCAATGTGTGCAAGTGAACAGTGTTGCAAAGCTGGTCCTGAAAAAAATTGATGTTCAAATTTATATTTTTTGAATGCTTAAAGGACTTCTTAATCATGCTGGCTGAAAACTTGAGTTTCAGAGTTCATTCTTGACCTATTAGCTTACTTGTATAAGCACAGAACTTTTCTTGTCTCAAGTTTATGAACAAACTTATAGATTTAGATTAACTGCTGTATAATTTAGATTTGGGAATTGATGGCTTTATATAATGGATCATACCAGCAATTTTACATGTCTAAGCCCATTGACTACATATCACTTACACTCAGCCTCATAGCTTATTATTTTACCAACCATGCTACTGTGTTTAGAAATTTCTAAACATTGTGTCCACTCTTTCGGTCATCCATTTCTTTCCATTTATTTTTGGATAAATGAAGTTTAAAAAAAAAATTAAATAAAAAAGCTCTCAATATTTTATGTTTTGTCAAAGCCACATTATAATGTTGTGAGGTAATGAAGTGCAAACCTTTCCAATCAGTCTGTGTTTAGCTGCATTATCACACAGCAACAATGTGACAATATTGACACAAACGATTAAGTTAGTGTTCACTCTGGTGAATTACACAGTTTAAGGAACAGTATGACAAATGAGTAGAGCAATTTAACAGCATATTAATGGGATTTAACTTTTCACCCTGCTGCAGTGATATAGAACTGTACTACAGGATGTGTGAGTACACGGATATCACTGCTGTGTGTGGTTACAGGCAGAGTGTTAATTATACACTGACAATCGGGGGCATCAACCAGGGCCAAACAAAGCCAAATATTCTAGAGCAAAATTGTCAGCAAGTCACGTAGTGAGGCAGTCAGACATGACCTTCAACTAACATCAAGGTTAAAAAATGGTATGGTCCACTTGAGGGGGGGTCTGAGATTGTATTAGATAAATATGGAAATATGTAGACATGAATATGGGGATGTAACATTTAAGATTACATGTAAGAAGGACACAGTCTCCTCCAAAAGTATTGGAACAGTAAGGCAAATTCCTTTGTTTTTGTTGTTCACTGAAGACATTTGGGTTTAAGATCAAAAGATGAGTTCATGAGACAAGAGTGGATGTGGTATTCACATCTAGATGTGTTAAACAACTCAGGTCATATCACCATTTGTATTAGACCACAGCATTATTAGGTGAGCAAAAGTAATGGAAACAAATAATTTTAAAGTAAATAACATTTAAAACTTGGTGGCATAACTCTTGCTTGCAATAACTGCCTCAAGCCTGCGAACCATCGACATTACCAAACTGTTGCATTTTTCATTTGTGATGCTATTCCAGGCTTTTACCGCAGCTTCTTTCAGTGCTTTTTGACAATGGCTTGCTTTTCTCCCACAGAGAGCTCTCTGGTCTTCATGTTGGTTTATCCTCTTTAACAGGAAATGCAGTCTTTATAGGTTTGAACCAAGGATGAAAACTTAGACTAGTCATGCAGAGCTGTTTAATGTTTGGACAGTCAACCTAAAAGGCAACACCTGGGCAACAAGAAACATGTCAGTCACATGTTCCAATACTTTTGCTCACTTGAAAAATGGGTGTGTTCAAACAAATGGTGATATGTCCTGAGTTGTTTAACACATCTAGATGTAAATACCAGGAAATGAGAGCTGAAATCTTGTCTCATACTCATCTTTTGATCTTGAACCCAAATGTCTTCAGTGTGCAACAAAAAAAGGAATTTGCCTTACCGTTTCAATACTTTTGGAGGGGACTGTATATAAATGTTTCATCCCCCTGATCTGTTCGGACCATGTCTTAATTAGGGGGTCAGACCCCAAATCCCCCCTAGTAACTTGAACCCTGGTTACAGGAAAAAACAAAGCACACCTCGACCACACCCATCACTGATTCTGCATGTGGTCAGAGGAGAGACATGAAACATTCAATCAGAAAGGGCAATGAAACACAGCTCTTCAGTCTGGTTTAAGTTACTTTTTATTGATATAAAACCTGCAAACAGACCTGTTCGGTTCTTTAAAACCTGCCTCTAGCATTATTTCAATACCTTTAAATAACCATCTTGTTTTATTGTAGCTTCAAAATGTTCAATTTAAATAACTGATTAAAACAAAATTCTAGCTATTCATAGATTGTTGCTAATATGATATTGTTAGTGAACTACTTCAATGCCATATCAAGACTTTTCTGTTTATATATCAGCTAACATGAAGTTGAAAATCATCTGGATTCAATCAGATTATTGGACAGATCACTGTCCAATAATTGTGCTCATGATCCAATTTATTTGTAAACACACGCATCATTACAACACAGCATTACTGAGAAAAAATCAAATATAATCCATGTTACCATGAGACAAGTTTCATCTTGACCAAATTTCCTCTGACGTTAAACATCTTCTGATAAACCGCTGTCCTCTGAGCAGGAGAGGCAAGGAATTTTTTCCAGCTGTGAATGTTGCGTCATCATTCTGGATATATTGCTCTCCAGAGGTGCTAAGTGTGCTGACCTCTGACCTGATCTAGGAGCAGGGAACATAATATCTGGAAAAGATCTTTAAGGGGCATGTGGGAATTTGATAATCCAAGAAAAAGGTTCCAAATATGAAGGTGGCCTTTCAGTTATATTGTCCAAATGAATTATAAATAGTTTCAACTGACTAATACTCACATTGTTCACTGAATGCTAAAATCTTTCTTAGAATCAAATGAGCAGAAAACAAGAAACTCTGACAACTCCGTACAAATAAACAAAGTCAAAAACATTTTTTTGGGTCCAGTTCTTCAAAACACTTTTGAAGAAAATAGGATTTGTTGATGCAAATTACTAACAATACAAAGCGTTGGCCAAAGATTAAACTGTCCAGAATGTGTTCCCACAGTCTTGGTAAACAATAAACTATATTTATACAATTTGAATAATTGTAGCTGTATTGTGAAAGGTGTCAGAGAAATGCAAAATAAACTAATGCAGATACAATTTTAGGAAACGCAAGGAAAACCACACATATATTCAAGGCATCCATTGACAGAATTTTCAAACAATATGAAAATCAGTTTGCAGGAACTCCTGTCATATGGATGCCTTGAACAGTAAACAAAATACTTTGAATAATTTTACTATTTTTATCCTAATTTAGCTATACCTTCAACCTTTTTCCAAGGTTTATATTAGAGCCTGACCGATATGGGATTTTTAAGACCAATACCAATTTTGATATTGGAGGATTTTAAAATCCGATATTCCTATATGTCATGAGTTTAAAAAGTGACATAAGTGACATGTGACATAAGTTTAAAAAGAAACCTTTTTTATTGTTATAAATAGTACTTTAAACAAAGGTACAGCTGATTATGTCAGCTGATTGCTGTGTTTTGTGGCGATTTGTGGCAAACTGGCCTGTTGCCAAGAGAGAAGTTGCAGAGTGCGCTTTGGTGGACAAACTATGCAATGACAACACTCATAACATGATTGAAGGATCCGTCTTCTGTCTTTTTTAAAATTATTTATTTATTGTTGTTATAAAAATATACCGATTTATCAGCAAATACATCATATTGGCCAATAATATTGGCACTCAGATATATTGGTTGGGTTCTAGTTTTTATGGACCTAAACTGAACTTCCTCAGCCTTATCCAGAGCTAGGGAAGTTTGAACAGTTTAACAAACAGTTTAAACAAACAAAAAGTCCAGCTGACAGTACAAAAACCTACCAATCCAGTCAATAGTATTGTTAACAAACAATGCGTGTATAAAAAATAAATTTCTTAATTTCCGATAAAGACTTCTTCTTAATGAGTGTCTCCAATTCTCTCTGCAGGTCTGTGCTGAGTCTGCGTGTGTGAAGCACAGCCTTCAGCAATGTGACTGTCCAGGAGACTCCATGAAGGACAAATGCCACATGTGCTGCCAGCAGCCTGGTATCTAGAAGCATGTGTCCTCTACTACTGAGGAATGTGTTTACAATATGTGTCAATTTGTACTGAGGCTACCCTCAGACATTATTGTTTTACTTCAAAACTAGCACAAGAAACACCACCTGACGTGGTGGTCCGTATCCGAAGAATAACATCAGGTGTTTTGTTAAGGAGCTGTGCAAGAAATGTCTTA